GCCCCTGGTCCCATCACCTCCTGGCAAATAGAAGGGGAAGATATGGAGGCAGTGTCAGATTTTACTTTCTTGGGCTCCATAATCACTGCAGATGGAGACAGCAGCTACAAAATTAAAAGAACGTGCTCTTTGGGAGGAAAGCGATGACAAACCTTGACAGCATCTTAAAAAGCAGAGATATCACCTTGACAACAAAAGTCCGAATAGTCAAAGCTATGGTTTTTCCTATAGTGATGTATGGAAGTGAGAGCTGGACCATAAAGAAAGCTGACCGCCGAAGAATTGATGCCTTTGAATTGTGGTGCTGGAGGAGGCTCTTGAGAGTCCCCTGGACTGCAAGGAGAACAAACCTATCAATTCTAAAGGAAATCAATCCTGAGTGCTCACTGGAAGGACAGATCCTGAAGCTGAGGCTCCAATACTTTGGCCATCTCATGAGAAGAGAGGACTCCCTGGAAAAGACCCTGATGTTGGGAAAGTGTGAAGGCAAGAGGAGAAGGGGACAACAGAGGATGAGATGGTTGGACAGTGTCACCGAAGCAACCAACATGAATCTGACCCAACTCCGGGAGGCAGTGGAAGATAGGAGGGCCTGGCGTGCTGTGGTCCCTGGGGTCACGAAGAGTCGGACACAACTAAACGACTAAACGAACGAAGGTGCCTTGGGAGCCATTTTATATCCAAATGAATTGATGAACCAAAAATCATTAAAGGTTTATAGATTCATGATTTGTCAGGACATTGCTTCATATGAATTAGCAATTTTTGAATGAATGTTGTGATTCATTTTTTAAAAAATCTGTGCCTATCTCTAGTACACATACATGCTTTTAAACTTTGGTCATAATACTTATGACATTACTAGGGAATGGAACAGTTATAACCTTACAACTAAATATCAAGCCATAGAGAGAGATAGAGAGACCTCCTTTTGACTACTCTATTTTGATGCTTTATTATAAACTGTTTAAATTATAGTATCTTACACTTTGTAGAATCATAGAATAATTGAGTTAGAAGGAGCTACAAGGCCATTGAGTCCAACCCCCTGCCCAATACAGAAATCCAAATACACATACAAAACCTCCTATGTAGCCCCAAATACAACATTCATTGCACTCAAATATGTGCAAATTCTGTTGACCATGCCATCTGGTGAAAGACTAAATGACTCAATATGCTTTTAGCAATGTATGAACAATATCTGTCTTTATGCCTTTGATTACCATGGCAAAACTTTATGCCATTGTTAAGAGAAGGACAAATGGATTGTAGGAATATTTCAAGGGGATAATTGTTCTGCCTGTAAGGGATTGGAGACAGCAATTCACAGTCCTAATATCCATCTGCTTTAGAAATAGCATTTTGAACTGCTTGTTTCTTCAGGGACTTGAGTGTATAGTTGTTGGCAGAAATAAGATGTAAAAATGCAACTTTAAATGAATGTGCACTTGCATAATAACAGCAGGGCAGCAGTTGCAGTAAACAAGAACACCAGAGGAAGATTACTGTTTATGACAGGCAGGAAGAAAGAGCTTCTTAGAATGTAAATTTGCTTTCATTTCAACAGCAGTTTCCAAATTATTTTCAGACACAGAGTACTTGTGTTTGAAACACAGAGCACTAGGAATCAGTGGTCTTATGGACAAGCTATTCATAACTATGTATATTTTAATTTTGCAGATAAATGACCTCTTTCTGCACATTTTAAGTATTATCTTATTAAGTATAAGACCCAGAAACACACAAACCCAAGATAATTTATTGGACTCAGTAGGAGTAAAGATTCCGCGAACCTCCCAAGTCTTACCGATCCTTTCATCTGGTGGTGGCTCGCAGACTAGGACAGAGGAGCCCTCACCACTACATTTTAAGGAGAGTTGTCTCCCTTCCCTAGTGATGACCCGTTCTTTCTTCTACCAATAGTTTTCTCTCTCCATTTCTACTTTGTATAACTCTTGCCTTTTGCTATCTGAAGTATAAGGACTTCCTTACTGGCCTCAACTTTTCTTATCCTTTTAGATTGAAGTTTTCCTGTTTTTTGTTTCACAGCTCTGATTAGTTCTCTCACAACACTCATAGCCCCCTGATGTTTAATCTCAGGTTCACATGACACATTGCACGGAGTTCTGTATTTCTACCCCTCCCCCCCACTTTTTTTTAAAAAAAATCAGCTGGGCTGCATGTCTCGGCAGAGAACCTATGGGGATATAAGATCAGAATGTAAGAAAAGCCCTGCTGGATCAGCCCAAGGACTGATGTAGTCTAGTATTCTGTTCCCAGAGTGGCTAATCAGAGAGATGCTTGAGGGAAGGATGTACAACAGCGCCCTCTATTCATGTTCAGCAATAACTGATATTGAGAGGCATACCGTCTGCTACTGGAGGTGATATACGTATATTCCCCATGACTACTAGCTTAGGATGGTGTTATTTTCCATCAGAAAATATCTCCTTGCAAAAGTTGCTTTTTCCTCTGTGAAAGAAAGATATGGAATCCTGGTATGTTTTCCACTGTAGCTGAAAAGATACAGTATATCTGTGACTTTCCCCCTCTAGGCAGAAACGTAGCTCAGGAAGAATGATTTTGAGATGGAAAATAACCAGAAAAGAAATCCTTTAGGACCTTCTCTGGCTACCTTTTCTCCTCCTGGATTTGCCACTCATCCCAGCGAATACTGTATTTTTTGCACCATAAGACTCACTTTTTTCCCACAAAACAGGGGGGTGGAAAGTCTGTGCGTCTTATGGAGCGAAGAAAACAGATTATATTTTCCTGTTTTCTTCTCCTAAAAAATCGGTGCGTCTTATGGAAAGGTGCGTCTTATGGAGCGAAAAATACGGTAGTTTATTTCATTTCACGTTTAAAAGAAGTGGATAGAAACATGGCACTCTATTCAATATGTGAGCCTCACTTTCCACCCTCATATTTTTCTCTTACCTGGCTTTATTGATGCACACTGTTTTATGTGATTTTCAAACATTCAGAGTCACAGACCTCTCTTTCTGAAGAAGAAATAGAATCAGTGTGTGTCTAAAGCCGACTCTGATGCCACTCGGCATTAATTTTTAAAAACCTCCTTTCCTTTTATACTGTATTGCAAATTGAATTTTTAGCTGGGCCTAGAAAAAAATAATAATACAGAAACCTATATCTGAAATGTTATTTACTCATGCTTTCCATAAGGGTATTTTTCTATAGCAAAACATTAATAACTGAATTTCACGAGAAGTAAAATTTTATGAAATAATAGCTTCCTTATGGGAAACAATAAAACCTTCTCTGACTAGGCGCCCTGCTAATGCTTTCGACTATAACTCCTGCACATGGTCATCTTCATTGCAGATGATGGGGAGTTGTAATCCAGCCAGAGACCCCAATTCCAAAATCATCTTTAATTTTTTCTTGCTATTAGAAGGCACATTCCCTCCCCCAATCATTTTAAAAGAAAAATTGAGAAGCATGGGATCAGGTATGATCCCTCAAGGTCAGAGGTAAGGATGTGTGGTCCTAGACCTCTGGAAGTCACCCAACTGTCTTTGAAGCTAAGAAACTGAAACTGGGGCATTCTATTTTATTTATTTATTTATTTATTTATTTGACTTTTATACGACCCATCTGGAGAAATCCACTACATTCTACATGTTAAGTAAATGTCTCATATGGAGTTAAAGTCTTTCCTTTTCACAAACTACTGAACCAAACTGAGATGTGTTATTCTGAATGTGATGTGCCATTTCATCAGGAATTTAAATCCTTAGTTTTCTCATTTATTGCCATGAACAAGAGAAAAAGGGTTTTCTCCTCGCCTTTGAGATACTAAGATTTTTATTGTTGTTCACTGCATTTGTGAGAATGATTTTTGTGCAACTTTTGAGGTTTTTGTGTGTGTGTTTGTGTGCAAAGCAAGAGAATTGCTGCCTTGTGGCACAGACTTGAAAAATGCAAGTTTAGAGTGGGTTGCTCATATCTTTTAATGACCAGACAATCCTGTGCTTTCTCTAGGTTTCTACTTCGTAAAGGGAAAAAACACAAATTGTCACAAGGGTGTTTTGTTGAAAAAGTAGAAAAACCAAAAATCAGAATAGCCTTGATCTCATGCTAGAAGCTAAAAACTCTTGAGACATGGACGGATTGGCAATTTTTCAACAAACTGTCTTGACATGTTGAGAGAATTTTTCTATAACAAAATAATAACAAATATTGTGAACACTTTTCACATCTCTACATGTTCCTCCATGGATTCCTACTTGTAAAAACGAATAAGGTCAAATCTAAATTATCTTAAAGAGGAAACATAAAAACCAAAGAAACATGGCTACCTCTTCTAATATTAGTTTGTGAATACTACATTCAAAGCCTTGACAACTCACTGTGACGACACAAGATGTTGGATAGTGAAGGCATTTTTAAAAAATCCATGGCAGGCATTAACTCCACTAGCTTTCTGCAGATCCAAGATCTTGCTGACATGATGTTGGAGTCAGCCATTTTGTCTCAGCTGCCCATGGTACACTGTAAGTGAGTCAACTGCTGCAGTGGAGCTTTCCACTGTTGTATCAGGGAGGATTTTGCCTGCGTATCTTCCTTTCTGCTTATGAAAAGAGACGTTCATGGCATCCTATAGTCCCTCAGCCTTCTTCTCAAGGAGTCTAGAAGTGTTCCTTTAAGAAAGGAATTGATAATATCCCTTTTATTTCTCAGAGCTTTGGAATGATTAATTGGCTGTAAGCACTGAATCCCCATTTATTGCTGTTAGATCTACTCAGGCTAACTCCATCTCCCTGACTTGAAATGTTCTGTGACAGCATTTTTCTATTTCAAGGCTTCGTTGAATCCCTTGCCATTATCTTTTCTGTAACAACAATACGATTCAATTTCACACTGTACTTAGAAATGAAAGGCGCGCCTAGTTACCTTACGAAATATATCTGTTGTATTTTCTCCTTTAATGAAATTACTTTCCATGAATTGTTAATGCTACTATTATAAAAGGATACTTATGGTCAAAACCATACCATATTCTGAAGAGCCAGGCACTTTCTGCTTTCGTTGTATTTTTATCTAGGTTGCTTGCAGCCTGCAATAATACAAACAAAGAACAATGTTGTTTAAAACTGACATCTTAAAATGTCCATACTGAATATGGAACAACTGAGCCAAAATTGAAAATGGAATTGATTAGAAAGCAAACCTCACTCTTTGATTAAAATGATTTCATTAGGTTCACAAAACATTTTTGTTAATCAGGTTTTTAAAAGATCAGTTTAAAAGCGGGGATGGCTTTGTTGGCTGGCCCAAAGCAAAGCTCAAAACCCATAATAAGGCTGATCCAAATGGTACAGAAGTTATGCCAAAGCACAAAAAAACAGCAAAGATGTCAAATATAGTATGTTGAACCATCTGTCTCTTATTTATTTAGTGTTTTTAGATGTTTTTAGATGTCTCCTATCATTCATCTTGGAACTCAAGATCTCAAAAATGGGTCTTGCAGTGGTTCTCTGATCCAGTTGGAGAGAAGATCCAGACTTCTCAGCTTGCTTCAGCAGAGTAAAATGCATCATGTTATCATTGTACCATGGAGTTCTTCTTGATAAGCCCAATTGAATGAACTGTTCCAGTTGCCATTAATTCCATCTCCCTGGAGATTTGTGTCCAACATCTGGATATTGAAATAAACAGCAAACTAATAACACCATCCTATGCCACAGTCCTCCCTGAGGACAGGTGGCTAATTCTCTGATGGGTCACTCTGCACAAGGAGTCACCAGGACAACCTGGTTGATTTTGGAAAGGTAGCAGGCTTGGGCTTCATTTGTATTTGGATGAAAGGCCATAAGGGAATAGTATGAGATCTCCAGGGAGATTTAGGAAAGAATCCTTCCTGAAAGTCTGGCAAGCCCCTGCCGCATCAAAATTGACAAACATTGGCTGGATGGACAAATGATCTGACTCAATATAAGGCAGGTGCCTATGTTCCTATGTTTGCACAGAGGAATTACTTTCCATATATTGACAATTAGAAGCCAAAAGAGGAGAGCCAGAATAGATAAAAAATATTGGGATAAAACAACAAAAAAGTGGTATTGTATAGGCATCCTTCAGTCTCAAGACTCTTTTCAAGTTGTGGTGTTCCACTAAGCTACAGTTCCACATAGATGCACTTTGCTTCTAGATGAAGTGTGAGGCATATATGTCCAACTGGGGCACTTTTGTCTTCTCTTATGGCACCATTGGCCTCTCTTGTAGATAGAATGAGGCTCCACTTGAAGTGACAGAGCAGTGGAAGTGGTAAATCATGCTGCTGCCTCATTGAAGAAGACCCTTTCATCCAGCGACAGCTATTTTGCAGAACCAGCCAGGTTCCACATGTCTGGTTCTGAGGAAGCACTTATTGGAACCAAGACTTAAAGTTCGGAAGGACTATAGAGAAGCTAGAAGACGTTTGAAATGGAGTTTTCCTTCTCCTAGATGGGCTGCCTTCTATGGCTGACGAGCCCAACCTACCCGGCCTAGTTATCTGAACGTCTGTTGGAAATGTGCTAAGAGAGAATGGTTGGAAATACAGTCAATTAATTAAGCAGGTGGGAGTAAAATAGGAGTGTTATGGGACACAATGAAATAAGTTATGAGAGGAATTGTATAAAAGAATCCTGTAGAATAAAAAAATTGAGAGAAGAAAATATAAAAAATAGAAGAATCATTAAAATATTTAGAAAGTAAATACTTTATAGATAGAGATAATAAAAAATTATTAGAGATTCAAGCTAAAAGGAAGGAGTTAGAAAGCGTAGAGTTAGAAAAGATCCAGAGGGATTTGATATATGCGAAGAGCAATTTTTTTGAATATAGTAATAAAAATTCAAAGCTTTTAGCTAGAATAGTACAAACTACAAGATCAAAAAATACAATTGGAGTGATTGAAGATGAAACAGGAAAGAATTGTAGTCTAATGAAGGAAAAATTAAAGATACTACAGGAATTCTATCAAAATTTATATAAAGGGAACAGTGTATCGAAAGAAGATATAGAAAAGTATATTAAAGAAACTGTTAAGAATAAACTATTAGAGAATGATAAAAGAGAATTAGAAAGAGAAATAAAGGATGAAGAAATTATAGAGATGATTAATAAATTAAAAAGTGTGTTTCATGTTTATGTGTATGTTATAGCTAAATAATTTTTTTTTTAAAAAAGGAACCAAGTCTTTGGGCCTGGCCAGCACTATGGATATCAGCACTGGCATCTTAGTACAACTGATGGTGTTCTACACACAATCTGCCTATCCTTAATTTTGCTGTCAGATTGAAACAGGGAATGGATGGCAAAAACAACAATGGGAGTAGCAGCAGCACTGGTATGTCTGCTCCTGTTTCAGGCAGTGGGAGAGCTTGGGAAACATTTGTGTGGCTATGGGGAGGGCCAGTGTTCTCTGTTTCCTGAGCTACAGTATTTGGAAAAATTGGAAATTTTTGCAAGGAATGATTAACAAATATTGTAATGAAGGGAAGAGAGCCAGAATGAATAAAAAGTATTGATATAAAACAACAAAAAAGATTATAGGTTTACCAAATATAAGAATTATTATAATGGAGTTATTATTATAATAACTCCATTATTATTATGGAGTTCACCACACTCCATTTGGTGATTAGGGGCAGTGGGCTGAGCCCTGTTTTGTGGGATTCCTGGGTGCAGCTCAAAGGCCCTGACATATGTTACAACACCAAAAGAAGCTGTTGAACACAAGACGTGACATTTCTGAGGCAGCACTCTAGGCATGGGATTCCCTCTAACAGAAGATGAGATTGTGGGGAAAATGCAATCTTGCATGCTTCCCCTTTAACACTGGGTGTCAGTGGGGAGCATGCTCTGTGCCTGCAACTAACTTAGCTACAGATTATTTCTCCCATGCCTCAGAATCCTTGAGACTGCCCTTTCTTCCTGTTGCTTCTTTGTCAGCCACCTCTTGTACTATTTGTAAAAGTTTTCTGTTTTGTCTGACTGAGGAGCGTAATACCGGGTGAAAATAATAATTTAAAGATTAATTTGTTTTCTCATGATTACCTATTGACAGTGAAAAATCAATTGGAAAGTATAGATAGAATTAAAACTAATTTGGAAAAATTTTGAAAAATAACCGGATTACACGTAAATTGGCAAAAATCTGAAATAATGTTGTTTAATCATAATAAATTAGAATAGGAAAGGTTTGCTGATAAATATGACTTTAAGATATGTAAATAGTTAAACATTTAGGTATAGACTTAGTAAAAGACATTCAAAAAATAAAGGAACATAATTATAATAAATGAAAAGAAGAAATTAAAAAGAAATTACAGGAATACAATAATTTAAACCTTTCTTAGTTTGGAAGGATTGCACTGGTAAAAATGAAAATCTTACCAAAAATTGATTTTCTTTTTAGAATGTTACCAGTACAGTTAATAGAGGAAGATTTGAAATTTTGGCAAGGAATGATTAACAAATATTGTAATGAAGAGAGGAGAGCCAGAATAGATAAAAAATATTGGGATAAAACAACAAAAAAGTGGTATTGTATAGGCATCCTTCAGTCTCAAGAGACCATGGTAACATGCTCTGAATCGAGGAGTGTCCTCTCCAGAGCAGGAAGCCTGGGTAAAGTAATATGGAGGATAGACTGTTACCCAAGCACCAGATCCCCCCTCTCCATGTTGCTGAAATGGACCAATGGAAAGGCAAGAGCCAATACAACTGGTTCCAGCAATGTCGCAGGAGTTGGCAGAACGACATGAACTGCCTTCGGGACTCCAGCTCCAGATTTTGCCTCTAGGTTAACTCCTGAAGACTTTTCCATGAGTGGACATAGCCACAAGGCAGTAGACGTTTGAAATGGAGTTTTCCTTCTCCTAGATGGGCTGCCTTCTATGGCTGACGAGCCCAACCTACCCGGCCTAGTTATCTGAACGTCTGTTGGAAATGTGAGAATGAAATTGGTATATACTTTCCTATGTGGCGGGAATGTGAAAAAGTACAAAGATTTTGGAAACTAACCTTTAAAGAACTAAATGACATATCTGAAAAAGATATAGAATTTAATCCTGAGGTAGCTTTGTTGTCAATATTTGAGAATGTGGAATATGATAGGATGACTAAAGAATTGATTACCAATTCATTAACAGTATCTAGATTAATAATATCTAGGCAATGGAAATAAAAATCTGAATTTCGAATGGATGATTGGTATAATGAAATATGGAATATAGCTATAAATGATAAGCTAACTTGTAATTTAAAGGTTAGGAAAGGAGAGTTGAAAAAGAATAATTTTTATGATATATGGGGCAGATTTTTGGAATATGTGTTAGCAAGAGGAAAAGGAAAAGCTCCAAATCAAGAATCAATGCAGTTCTGGAGAAGAGGACAATAACAGAAGAAGAAGAATATAGATGGAGGAAGAAGATTATTGGAAGAGGTTCCAACTATGGTGGTGGTGAAAACGGTCAATTTATATTATGATTTATGTCTTTTATGTT